GAGGTTCTGTGACTTCCATCTCCCTTGAATTGCTGTTTCTCCTCTGCCTGCCTCCCCCTGCCTCCCCCTCCCCCCTCCCCCCCTCTTTTCCCTTTGCTGAATATGCCCATGGGTTACCATTTCAAGCCACTGCAAGTCGTCTGAATGGGAGCGCATACCTTACCCTGTGCTACCTTGAGACTGCTTAAGAAGAACACAAGTTATCACAGACCGTCCTCCTCCGCATCAGCTGCAACCACGCTCATTCGCCAGGACCTCGGCACCAACACATGACCACCGCGCTCATTCGCTTCTACTTGGGTGTGGAATCTCAGTTCTTCTTCTCCATTAACTGCCTGCCACATGCACACGGACGGTGCCTAAAGCTGAATTCCAGTCGCCCAAGACTGCTTGATGTGTTTGGTGCCATTCCATGTGCTCCACCTTGTCAATCATCTGGCAAGCTGACGTCGATGGGACCCGGACTTCGTGGCTACGGGTGCATCTAGCAGGTCATACCTTCACAATTGTGTGGCGAACACTCGTGTGCTCTTCCCTCTCAAGTGTCTTGCAATACGCAACAGCTTGAAAAACCTGACTGTGGTCGTGAATACCACGGATGCGAAAATAGCTGCTGCAGCGTCCAAAGAGGTTGCCACGGGCCGAAAACGTCACGTCGGGCAGGTGGTGTTGCACAGCTAGCTATGTCTGTAACAAACTCCATTGAGTCGATAGCCGAACACTGAAGATATGATGAACACAGCCTCTGAACCAGAGGTCACACATCTGTCTGTTGTATCATGACTCCGATCTGATGGGCGAGTCGTCGTGAGGCCCAATGCTAAGAGTTACAGCAGAGGGACTAGCTCTTGGTGCTGAGAAGAAAGACACTTCCATCCCTTGCCGTTTTCGATAGCTGGGTGAAGAATACGCATTCATCAGGAGGCACTTCAGGGAGGCACTTCATGGGCTTGTGGCATCACGACTCTGATCCGGTGGGTGGGTCATTGTGTGGCCCGATCAGATGCTGAGAAGAAAAACACTTCCACCCCCGACCGTTTTCATTAGCTGGATGAAGAATACGCATGCCAACATCAGGAGGGATTTCAGGGGCTTTTGGCAGCCTTCAGGAGCTCGCAAATTGCCATCATCCATCCCTCCACCCCTTGGATATCTCCTCACTCATGACAGCTCAAAGCCAGCATTAGACATGATTGCGTAAAGCAGTTTCTCCCGCAGAGTTGCTGCACGTCTGTAGGTCGGTAGCTGTCAAACACAAAGGGGAGTAGAGGTGTGGGATGCAGGGTTCGGGGTGGAAAACAGTTGTTTGTGTGCATATGGGGGGGGAATGTAACACAAACCACACAGAAAAGGAGCAAAACCACATCATCAACACACATCAAGACAGAACCCAGGTGCTGCGTGTGCAGTGACATCACATCATAAATCAAGAAGGCGGACATGGATTGGCAATCTCCCTGGCTTGTAGACTCGCCTAATGACCACCACACCAAGACAAAGACTGCGCGATTGCATCCCTTGTCACACATTCCCTTTTCTCCGGTAAATCAAAACCTTCTGCCTGCATTTCTCACCACTTTTTTCCCACCCGCTGATACATGTGAGCGGAAAGAATCACTTCAACTGAAAATAAGTCAATAATCCGTCAATTTATCATTGGCCAAAGGATCATTGATACTTATTTTATTAATTAATGCTCAGCAATACTCAACAACAGAATCCAGTGAAGAAGTGATTTACACACCAGGTATGCATGTTAATCCCCCTTGGCAGTACCTCAGCACGTCGGTGGGCAAACTGGCCCCTCAAACGGGTCGGGATAACATCGGGCCAGTGATGCAATCCGATATCATCACGTGAGCGTTCACTGCTCAGTGCTGAGACACAGAGCAACGGGTCAGTGAGCAGCAATCAGACAGACAATATCATGCAAGTGCTGCTCTCACTAATCTGTTATGTGTCTGACCGGTGACTTAGCATGTCGGGGGTTCGAATCCCTCTTCCGCCAGTCGTCTATCTATGTTTTCTTCAAGCTTATATATACTCATACGATACGCTTGAATTCTCCAATTATTGAATTAATTGAAAGGTTTGTTTTGAAATAGATAGGAACATTAATTATAATTATATTACAGGAGAAAAGGGATTCAAACCCTTCACCAACGGTTACGGTGAACGCATCTAGTGATGGAATGTGGAACGATCCTTGAAATTGGAGCATCAAGTCAGGCTCAAAGGAACAGAAGAGACCTCCCGACACTTTACCAACAGAAGGACAAATCGCTAACTCGCATGGACTACATTGAAGTCACTGTTGGCCAACCTCATTCCCCTTTTTTTTCCCTTCTTCTTCTTCTTCTTTTTTGGAACATGCTCCACCCTCGTTCTCAAATGGCGGAAGCATGCCATATGCAACACACTATTGACGGCGAACTTGGGGATTCAAGATTGACAATCATTGAGCAAATGACAATGATTTGGATGTATGAGAGAGAAGAAAGGATGAAAGATGCTTGGTGCAAGTCACAATGAGAGACAGGATGAAGTCACAATGAGAGACAGGATGCTGCTGCCACAACTGAAAAGACGAGGCCGGCCAAGATCACGAGCGCTGGGCTTGAGAGACCGAAGAATGAGAAATCAACTCAATCAGATTGAATTCTCTGTATTGCGGTTGTTATTGTGTCACCATAAGGCCCAACAAACACATACCAATGTTAAAACTCGCGGCCACTACGTGGAAGACTGGAGCTTGAGTGGGAAACTCGAACGAAAATGCAAAACAGATGAAAGAAAACATGCACAGACCCAGTGTTGTCAGAGAAAGAACACGAGGCTTGGGCTCTATCACACATGGGTTGACCTGAAGAGGAGGGTGAGAGGGACACGAGACTGCACATTCTTACCACAAAGATGCGGAGGACAGTTTTTTCTCATTGTAAAAGGCCACAACAGAAAACAAGGCCAAAAGCGAAACAAACAAGACTAAATAGCTCAGTTGGCACAGAGAACGAAATCGGCATTCAGGAGGTCGTAGGTTCAATTCCCCATGGCTTCCATTCCAACCAACCCCCACGGCCTCCAGCTGTGCGCAGCAGGTTCACTAGCTGAGATAGTCGGCTTGGTCCCTCTGGTTGTTGGTATTGCGAGGGGGCTCTGAAAACAAGGCAAAAAGCGAAACAAACAAGACTAAATAGCTCAGTCGGCACAGAGAACGAAATCGGCATTCAGGAGGTCGTAGGTTCAATTCCCCACGGCTTCCATTCCAACCAACCCCCACGGCCTCCACCTGTGCGCAGCAGGTTCACTAGCTGAGGTAGTCGGCTTGGCCCCTCTGGTTGTTGGTATTGCGAGGGGGCTCTGTTCCCCTTCCGTCCATTGCCAGGGGTCAGGAGCCTGGGTACTACTCCCTGCACAGACTAGAGCTTGATCAACCCGGATGGGAAAGGCTCAATCCATAACAGGTAGTATATATTGTCACATCACTACAAACTAAAAGAGCGCACTTTGCGGAACAAAGAATAAAAGCAAAAAACGGGCACAGTGATAACATGCAAAAATAAAAAGAAAAAGAAAAAGAAAAAGAAAAAACAAGGGCAGATTGAAACCATTAAATTTCTCATTCTTCTTTGAACTCCACCTCCACTGTGCCTCTCACGTGCAAGGCTCGCCACGTTGATGAAGTT